AGCTCTGACTGAGCTTGTTCACACCTGGTGATAATTATATATCCAAATAATGGCGTGTATTTAGCTCAGTTTACAGAAATGCAAAGTGCTGGACAAAGGCTTTATTAATCTGGTCTTTCAGGTTCAAAATAGCCTGTTATCCATATTATAAATTTACTTTGCCATATGTTTCACCAGTATTTTAAATTTTTTAATTTTTTATTGTTTTTTGGCCTTCAGAGGATTCGGACGCTTTTTGCTCTCTCTCCCGAACCTGTTCCTCCTTCCCTGTTTTGCAGCTTTTTCAAGCCTTTCTTCTACCTATCATCCAAAAACAAACGGAATTATGGATTTGGTCAACTGGTCTCTGAACGCAATCGACACTATTTTTTTCCATACTGAGATTGGAGCGAGGGGAGCACAGCTGTCCCAGTGGAATGGTGGTGTCCGGGCGAGTTTCTGGCTCTTGGGGGTGGAACCTAATCTGTTTGGTGCCACTTTCCATTGAAGATGTGGAAGATTTGTACATATTTGGATCTATGATAACTGGATTACTGCTGATCGGCTGTGGAGCAGTCCTGGCTTATTGGAAAATGAAAGCGATCCTGACAGCAGTCTGGGCCTGTGAGAAGCTGTCAGGAACCTTGGATGGAGTCTTGCGTACTGGAAATGCACAGACTCAGATGCTGGGGGATATAAGTCGCAAACTGGACGTGATTCTGACAAGATTCACAGTTCAGCAGCGTGCCCGTGAGGAGTAGGATTACACCTGGGTGAAGTTTCAGTCGGAAAGAGAGACAAGGAGGTAATGAAATTTGGAACATTGGCATTTTCACCATCACGGAGATGCAGTTACAGACTTAAAGCAGAGAGAAAATCAAGGCTGCTTGTCCCAAAACAATTATGTTTATATTATGGATCCCTGCAGTTGCTGACCTTGTCTCGGCAGTTATCAAACTCCCTGGATGACACATGAAACAAAGGCTTGACTCCCCATCCCCTACCCGTATCACCCGTGGGCAGATCAGTCTGGAGGCCGTGATGGGTGGAGACAGAACTGAGCTCTGATGATTTGTGCTTTGGTTGACAACAACTTGTTTTGGACTCTGGAGGTCTTTGGTTGGTTCCAACATGGAGTACTAGCCTGAAACGTCATCGGCTCCGCTGAACCCCACCCCATACCATATTTTTGATCCCCTCCTTAGCTGCCTTGCACTGAGCGAGTGGTTTTTTTGAGTGTATCTTTCTGTTTCTGTGAAAAACACAGGATCAGAGCATCGTACCATAGTGCAAAAGACCTTGGACATCCGTTCCCCCATGTTTGTTATGTGTGTCTTTCTCTGAACGGATGTTCTAAACTGCAATTTTTTTCTGCATTGCATCTTTGATGTTGTGTGTGAATGACAGCAAATTACTCTGATTCTGATTCTAATGYCAATATAACAAATTCATGGTAAAGTAATTTAAAGTGGTTCTGGTTAAAATTTCCAGTTAGGATCATAAATGCTGTTAGAGTAAAAATAATATTCTCCTAAACCAACATTTTTCTCCCTGTACTATCAAACTGAGTATCTTTAGTTTTTGTTTTGTTTTAGTATTGGTGTACCATTTTACCATTTGAATAAGTATCATGTCAGCCTTATTAATTAAAATAAAAAGGACAATTTCTGCATCAATTTGCTTCTTCTCAAAACTATTTTCCATGTAATTATTGGTTTGAATAGTGCGTAGTTTTAAAACAAATATTCAAATGAGCACATCTTACCAATGTCATGATACCTAATATTATTTGATAGAGCTGTGGGAATACGTTGGATAAAAATAGGTTTTTAAAAGTAAAAGAGAGGGTGAAACAAAGACGTGCTTGTCAGGGATTTCAAGCAATGATTTAGCGTTTTACAGATTGGCACTTTGAGAGGTTGCCCTGGAAAAACCTTGCAGCAGCTTCCCCTTTTCTCTGAGGTTTAAAGCCTCAGCCATCACTTCATAGGCAGAAGAATAAAACTCTGAGTTATGTGTTTGGATTCTGAGCATCTCTGTTCTTAGAAATGATCAAACTAAAAGCACCCAGTGAGAGAAAAAAAAGAGAGACTGCTGTGAAGACTTTTTTCATATCAATAATAGCCCCCAATTGGTGTTTTGGTAAGAACACAGACACATAAAAACATACTCATATCCACACACGTAYACACTGATTTTTTTTCTTCCTTTCCAAAACTCTTCATCATCATGCTAACCCTGCATGTTTCGCCCGGCGGGAGACTGAGGGGCTCATTGTCATTCCAGAAGGGTCGGCTAATCTCAGCCAAATCTGTCTGCTCCTCGTTCCTCATTCCCCCATCGTTCCTGCATTGTGTGGCTCCCACCAAACTGAACATCTCTCATCTCTCGGATCCACTGGAAATGTGGGAAATCTGTGTGTGAAGCCTTCTCCCCTTGGGAGATTCGTTACCAGAGAGCTGCGGGGGGAAGTCTGAAGGGAGAGCTCAGCACACATGGAGATGGAGACAGAAGGGGGAAGGCTTTCCTCTCCTCAAAGCTCACGAGGGGCTCCGAAAACCAAAAGCTGATCTAATATTGAGAGGATAAAGCTTGGTCAAGCTGGGTTCGGTTCGCTCCGATGTTATTATGCGCCACTGAAAGGAGACAGAGCCCGCGATCTCCTTGAAGGAAGCTCGTGTGTCTCCTTGAACGAGCTGAGCTCATCAATAAGTGATGCTCTGTCTCTTCCAGTCCATCACAGACAGAAGAGCTGCCTCGATTTCTTTTAGAAAAAGGTAGTCAACAAAATACTGTCCCTGTTCAGCCCTGCTTTGTTGCTGACGTTTCTTGTTCTTTCTTAGGTAGGATTTCACTGGAAAGCAACTGCTGGAGACTAGTTGGAAACTCAGAATTGCAGGAAAATTGCAGGGAATGTGCAATTTTTATTCCTTTACAGTCTTTTCTTTAGAGTTTTGAGAGATCACAGCCAAAGGAATGGCGAGCCGCGCGGCCACATTTCAAAACACAAGTTTTTTTGTTTTGTTTTGGGGTTTTTTTTCATGTGAACAGCTTACAGGACTATTCTTGAAGTTGAAGTTAATCAGCAAAACACCCGAAGAGAATTATTGTAATTTTTTGTTTTTGTTTTGTTGTTTAGCCTGTCTCTTTAAGTACAAACAAGGTGCTTTACACCCCGCCCCCCTCCAGCTTCCAGACCGGTCCATTTTACTTTGATAGAGGGGTTTATAACAATACAGTAGCGCAGAAACCTTTTTTTTTTACAAATTAATTTAAAGATGTCAGCAAGGGAAGACGTGTCCATTCAGCCTTACATGTTGGAGCCAGAGTCTGACCCAGAATGAGAGGATTATGAAGATGATRAAATTGTAATTGGTAATTTTGTACCTGATTTTGTAGTTCTGCTGCAAACACTTTAAACTCAGAAAAAGTCACAGAAAACAGAGATAACTGTGTGGAYTGAAAAATATTACTCGAACCGAATATAAAGACAACTTTGCAGCACCGGGAGAGACTGAATTCAAATTTTCTGCACTGCTAGAGACCCCAAGTACACAGCAAAATGCATTTAATGGCTAAAAATGTGGATTTTGCATAATATTAGGGCTGAAAATTAGATAACGGTTTAATATTGTGATGACAATATGACTTGCTGTAAGTTAATGTCTTAGGGCAAAAAAAAAACAACCAATACATAATTTCCATTACAACATGAAGAAGTGATTATGATTTGATGTGGTATCTCTGGTCCGTTTTGTTAATCAGACTGATGCTGACAAAACACATAAATGCAATCATTAGAACCAACCATTTATTGCAACTTATACAGCTTTTTCCAATAGGGTTTTATCACGGTGACAACAAATTTGCCATATATTGTGCAGCCCTACACGTTATGCCCCCTTTAAACGTAAGCTATGGCGCTCGCCCTCTGTGCCTTCAACTTTTAACTTCCTGCTTGCCATCATGGCATCTCAATAGCTGCAGCACAGTGAGGTGCCACCTTTAAACTTCTAGACAGATGGCTTTTACAGATGCTTGCCGTGCTCCAAAACCGAGCTAAAGCCACTCTGACATAACTGACACAACCAACAATTGTCTGGATGCCCTTTGTGTTCTTGTTTCCTGACTCTTCACAGCGTTCCAGCAGTCAGGAAAAACAACTGAGAGCAGCGATAGGGACTTTTTTTTCTGGCTACTCTGAAACCTAATCCCATTTCACAGTGGCATGGCGCTGTGCCAAAATAATCACTTTATGGGAGATGAAAGTGATTACCACTGTTCACTCTTATCTGCAACCAGTACAGAGAATATCGTCCAGCATTGACGATAACTGTCTGTCTCTGTGATGCTGGGCCAAGCAGGGGGGACAGTCACACGGGGAGGGAATAAAAGAAAAAACAAAACAAAAAAAGCCTTCAGTGGTGTTCTACGGCTTGTGTGTCTGGAGCGTTGACAAAAGATGCACCAACTGTAAGTCGATTCGCTTGGATAAGTAATTAGAGCAGCAGTCCGTTCTGTCTTACACACAGCCGACATATTCAACAAGCCTTTCTGTAGACACATAATACACAAATTAGAGTTCCTCACTGTATCCTGGTGATAAAAACTGTGTGTTTGAATTCCAAATAAATAGCAGTGATGTTTAGTTGCCATGCATAATTTCAAAGCTGCTTCAAATAGTGTTTTTTATTTTATCTCGAATTATTCCATGCAAATCCTAAAAAAAAAGAATTATCTGTTCTTTCTGTAGCCCAGAAACAGGGGAAATTTTACAGTATATATCTATTTGTTCCACTGAATCAAACGTCTTCTTGTCAAGTAAAACTTTCACCTTCAAATTTTCTTGTTGCACATTCAACATCTTGCTCAAGGACGCATCAGTATGCCGAACACTCAGTTTCAAAGTGACTTGAACCTGCAGGCTTTCCCTTCAGGTTGAGGCTTTCACCGCTCTCTGCACCCCCGCCCGATTCAGAGCACTTCCTGACAGCGGCGCCGAAATGAGGATGTTTCCTCACCTGGTTGTCAGACATGACGTAGAGCGAGTTCTTGTCCAGGGAGAAGGCCATGTCCCGGAGGACGGGGCTGACGCTGTCCTTCATCACAGTCAGCGTCTCATAGAGCACTCCTCCCTCCGGAGCGCCGTCCACCCTGATCTGCGGAGACAAAGAGACACAAATGTCACGCCAAATGGAGCAATAACCACGTCCTTTCAATACGTATGTAACGAGGCGGCTGTCTTTTACTGCATCTCTTGATTTTTGTTTTGTTTTTAGCATCATAAAAGAAAAATCTATAATAAATCAACTTCTATTTGTATCACAGCGYAATTTTATATTTTCTTTCCACCTTTATAGTGATAAAAAAAACATTGTTAAAACTAGAAGCACTCAGAGAGTGCAAACCTCCGCCAAGACCAATTTCCCCCATCCTGTAAGAGTTAATGCGCAAAAGCGGAGATGGAAACACATTTCTGACGTAGCGAACATTTAAGCAGCAGTATGCATGGGATTTCTTCTCGGTGGAGTCCATTGTGAAAAAAAAAGTCAGACTCGTCACCCGACGTTATTCATGGTCAAACTGGTGTGGGATTAAGCTCCTAAGTTTTCATCAGTCACATTTCACCATGTAAAACGTCTGTTTTATCCGCTTGCCTGGCTCCCCCCGTCTCCAAACTTTGAGGCCCGGCAGCTCTCTGTTTACAAGCCTAGTAGTGAGAAACTGTTTTGATTGGTTGTTTCGGAAATGTGGTGTGTTTGAGGAAATGGGAAAATTAGGTTTCATGGTGCAGTCACGCATTTCCTGGTCACAAAACGTTCTTTAAATGCGCACCAAATGCGTAAAAATGTGCACATTGTGGCAAAAATTATTCATCATTAAATCTGGTTTTAACATTACTTTTATAAAGTTTGAAGTCCGAGCTGTCCAGTCCAGCGCACTGTTTTTTACAGAAGCCCTGTGAAAGCATCACAGCTTTGCCGATCTCAAGAGTGTTAAAAGAAAAAAAATTCCTGTTTCCGCATCGTGATCTGGAACATCACCAAAATTTAAAGTTGAGTTCCTTGGCCCAGTAACCACATGTGGTAAAAATGTCATAACAATCCGTCCACACGTTTTTGAGTAGTGTTGTCCACAGACGGATGGACGGACAGGCGCGACCGAAAACATTACCTCGCCCTTGGCGGAGGTAAAAAAAAAAMAACAACAAGGAACCAYAAGTGTTTCTTTTTCTTTGCCCAGTTCTTTCAGGGTCGCAGGGCAGCTGGAGCCCATCTCCAGCACTCACTGAGTGGGGGTGCTGACCCAGCCAGGTCGCAAGTCCATCACAGGGACTCATGAAGACAAACGAGACAAGCAAACACTCACTCACACCTCGTTCTACAGAGCTCTYCTTAAACCAGGTGTTTGTTTTCTTTCCTTTCTGTGCAAATGCGGGAAAAAGCACCATTTGGCTAAAACATCAAAGAGAAGGATTTTGTAAGGATAAAAAAATTWATGTTTATCTTCTGATCTGCCTTTCATCAAGCAAATTAGCAAATTTCCCAGATCTGCCTCTGAGCTCAGCCCCAGTTTGGATTCCACTCAACATTTCCCTGTAAATTCCTAACATGAACACTGGCACAGTAAACTGCGACGGGGAGTCTGTGATGTGATGTGTATTGTGTTTACATGCCAACGCTTCCGATTTCAGTTTGATGCATGTCGGGAGACGGCACGTCTTGTTTTGTGAAGCCGAGGAGTATTTCTGCAAAAGTCTTCATCAATGCGGCTGAGAGAGTGCAATCAAAAGGCCATTTAAAAACAAAATAAAGAAAAGTGAGAAAGAGCAGCAATAATTGTCATGATGCTTTTGCTCATGTTTCTATGTGTGACTGTTACAAAAGTATTTTATGAAYCACTGAATTAATGAATGAAWGATGGAAAAGACAAAAAAATGGCTAAAACTCAGCTTTTTGGAAACTGTGCTGCATTCAGGTGCAGTTGTAGTTTAAAGTCATTAACAACATATACAAGCTTTTAATTTATTCATTAGACAAAGTGGTCATTGACACTCTGACCCTCATTTAGCCCCGACTTTAGAGCAGCAACGWTTGGGTTTCAAAACATCTTCATTTGCCTTCTTCTCCTCATCAGCGACTTTCAGACAGAAATCTTTTGGGACTCATTAAACACAAACAGAACAAATGTTCACTGGTAAAAAGGTTTTCATCTTCTGTTTTCACCTCGACAAACAATGTACGCTAATTCACAAAAGAATAAGTCTGTAAGCATCTTAGCGATGTAGAAAGCAAAACTCATTTTCAGTCGTACCCACAACAGGATGAAAGTKTTTTAACTTTTTTTTGTCTATTTGCCACAATGACAAACATATTTGTATGTCTCTTTGGTGTGTTTCTTTATTTCTTAGTCCATAAAAATACCAGTGTTTGCTTTCCCAAAGCTTATATTTTTGTCTGTGTGCATAATAAATGAATAATACCTTGACAAATTGAATAAAAGTCAGGAAATGTAAAACAAGGCAGTGGTGTATGAATAAAACAAACAGTAGCAAGTAAAATAAAAAAGCATCCTCATTAACTATGCAAAAGCAGGCTGAAGCCCAATTTAACTCCAGGCAGAAGTGTATCATTAATCATGTGATGCAATTATAGTAAAGCTGAATTAATTTCCCAATCATGGTAATTAAAATAAATGCAAGATCACAAAAACCTGGAAGCGTTCTGAAAACGTCTGCGTGATTATCCCCTCCAACCCCAACCCCCGTCRTCCTCTCTGCATGAATCTGAACACGTGGGCCTCACCGCCCGGATCAGATCTGACTGCGGAGGATTTTGAATGTGTGCCAGGTCTGGCTGGCGCTCGGTGGCAGAGCCCCGGCGCTCCCTCTCTCTCTGTCTGTGGGGACAGTCAATCAATACAAACTGATTACACGATTGGATCCCCCAGGCACCAAAACTTCATCAATCAATCACGGCTCCACCTTCCTGGCAGCTGTGCCTCCCCAACACTCACAGGCAGGAATGAAAAGCGAGAAATGTTTGCTGGGGGAAAAAAAACGAAAAACTGAAGCGTGTTTTTAGTTTCAGTGGGGAAAAGGGAACAGATAGGCATGAGGCAAGAACATGACTTCAATTTCCACAGATATTAACACCGAACAAATAGAGGGACATAAAAATGTCTTGAATCCGGATCATTAGGAGACTCTCAGCCTAGTAGCATACTTTGAAGGAATGTGTATCACTCCCCACCTTGATGTGAAAGGGCTCCTGCAAAATCTTGCATWWTCTTTTGGAGTTTAGAGAATTTGGGTGTATTCACAACAGGAAATTCCTTTGGTCCACTTGTTTGGTCCGGACCAAACAAGTGGACCAAAGGATAGCTGGTTCTGATTCCTACACTGCTCCTCTGTCTTTTGGAGTTCCCCAGGGTTCGATCTTAGGTCCCCTGCTTTTTTCTCCTTACCTCCTTCCTCTGGGTTCTTTACTCAGGAAGCATGGGATCTTTTTTTCATTTCTATGCTGACGATAGTCAGATTTATATGCCGCTGAGAAAGAAAGATGCCTTTTCAATTAGGCCACTTCTGTTGCGTCTTGAAGACATCAAAGCCTGGATGTCTTCAAATTTTTTTAAATTTTAATGAGAAAAAAACAGAAGTGATTGTGTTTGGTCCCCGTGGCTCCTGTGAACCTCCCCCTGTGTATCTGGGTCCTCTGGCACTGCATGTAAAGCAGAAAGTTTGTAACTTGGGTTTTAAAATGGACATTGATTTTAAATTAGATTCCCAGATTGAGCAGTAGTTAAGGCCAGTTTTTATCATCTCAGGGAACTGGCAAAGTTAAAACCGTTTCTTTCGAATCAACATCTTGAAACAGTAATTCATGATTTTGTTACATCACAGCTTGATTACTGCAACGCTCTTTACCTCAGAGTCAGCCAGACCTCCCTCAGATGCCTTCAGTTGGTTCAAAACACTGCATCAAACCATAAATGTCCAGAAATTAAGTTATTTGTAATAATGTGGAATGGCACAGAGGAAAAAATATTGAACACATGAAGAA